GAGTTTGCCGACCACGGGTCTAGGGGGTTGAAAGATGAGACGCTTCATTAACAGCCCATCTGGAGAAGGAGATGTCCAATTGTAGGATCATGTTTCTAAACCACACGGCATGTGCAGGAAGCAGCCACACTCAAGGGGCCAAATCCATCCTCCCAATACTTGGCCTCCCCTTTAACATCTTTAACATCATTCTAAACTCTGTATCAGGTAAGTTACTTATCTCTTCCGGGCCTACGTCCAGCGTGTAGACCTGGAGCTGGTGCAGGAAGTAGCAGCTCTTGGGCTGGTCCTTGAGACAGAGCTGATGGCCTTCCAGGATGACGTGGTGGGGCTCCAGGCGGAGCAGGGTGAGCATGGCAGTGTCTGTGGACAAGTCAGTGACAGGCTGCCCGGAGGCCAGCACAGTGGACTGAGTGGGCACAGCAACTGGCGCTGGGCTGGAGTCACCAGGATGAGGCGGGCCAGGCATTCCATGCAGAAGGAGTGGCTGCAGTCCAGCACTTTGGGGGTGTGGAACATGTTGTTGAAGGGGTTACAGCAGACAGGGCACTCAGGCTCCCCGCCCTGCTGCTCAGCCATCCTCGGACCAGATGCCAGGAGGCCTGGCAAGAGACATCCGGGCAGAAAGAGAAAAGAAGCAAAGAAACACCCATTAAGCTCTGCCCTGTGCTCGGTCTCAGGGTAAAAGTGGTCTGTGGTTGTTAAAAAGTATTATCACCCACATTTCACAGATGAAAACACTTGGGTTCAAAGAGAGGAAGCGATCTGTTCCAGATCACCCAGTCCTAACCCGGTTAAGTCTGGTGCTTCCGTGGTATCCCCTCTATCGGGGCGAAGGCCTGAGCCACCCCATTCTTAACCCCTTCCCCGGCAGAAACGTGTATACTCGTTTTCACAAAATGTTCTTTTTCAGTCGTTGACGAGTATACTAAGAAAATATGGTAAAAAAATATGGTTTATAGGAAGACGAGTTACAAACTGTTTTCATAACCAGCATCAAAAATACTATATAGAACTAAAATAAAAAAATTAGTCTGAAAAAGAAACGTTTTTAACAAAAAAATTGTTGGGGAAGGGGTTAATGAGCTGCCACCAGAGGAGACCGCACCCAGCTTTGGAAATGGATAAAAATGCCCCTAGGCTCCATGTGATTGCCCTTGGCTTCGGGGACTCCAGGGAGAAGCAGGGGAGCCGCAGTCAGGGGTTGGTGCTAGAGAGCAACTACATCCTTCCCTGCGGCCTCAACTATCTGACGAGTACAGCCTGGCCCTACTCTGGGAACAAATCCCAGGCCTATTTCCCTCCTCCCACCTTGGGGTACAGGGCCAACCCCCGCTCTTTTGTGCAGGGGTCTGGCAAGGCTTTTTCCCTGGACCAGGAGGCTTGGAGGCTCCCCCGCACAGGCCCCTAGATCAGCCCTTGCAGAGCCACCTCCCAATACTTGGCCTCCCCTGGCTCCTGCTCCCTCCCTTTGTCCTGGAAAAAACCCCAGGGCACCCACCTGGGCTTCAGTTGGCACTAGAGTGGTCAGCAGACTACCCTGAAGGGCCTGCGGCTCCAGTCTCTCTTCTCCTGAACCCACAAAGCTTTGGGAGCCCGGAAGCCAGACTGAGGACCCCCAGGCCATGGCCCCACCACCAGGCCTCAGGCCAACCCCATCCCCACCTTCGACTCCCTGAGGGAGTGTTTACAGGACCCTGAGCTCCCGGAGGCCTACCTGATGGTGGCCATCCTCGGTGTCACTCCGTTGTTCATCTTCTGCCTCGTTCGGGTCACACAGTTCCGTGGAGTATGAGGTGAGCATCGGCTCCAGACAAGGTACAAGCCTGTCTCAGCTGCTGCGGATGTGGGGACTGCAGAGCCTCGTGTCTTCCTGGGTCATATTGTTCATTTTTACAGCCCACGTGGATCAGGTGGGCCCTGTGTTTGCTCCTGGAACAGAGTCCTACTATACTGAGAATCTCTGAAAGCTCGAGGACTGGGAAAAGATGCGAGGAGACCTCTGGGTGTGAGCCATGGGGCCTTGAAAGGGCAGAGAGGCAGGTCTGTGATTACAGAGCGACAGCTGTCTCCAAGAGCCCGACTCGCCCAAAGAGTAAGCTACAACTCTCACTGGAGCTGCTTTGAACTCATCCACTTTTTTTTTTTTAAATTGAATTGTTCTCTTTATTGTGTTGCTAAAAAATTGGGAAAGTGAGCTTCAATTCTGTGAGCAAACGTGTGTCTCAGTTTTCTCTTAATCTTGCCACCAGTCCCAGTAAAAAATGGTCTGCGTTCATTCATTTATTCACTTATTTCGCTGATGCTATGTCCGAACTAGAGAAAGAGAAAGGTAGGGCTATGCCGGGGTGGCAGAGAGCCCTCTCCAGCAGGGAGGATGTGCTCATTACCTGCTTCTGGCGCAAGGCAACCTCCTGTGGGTATGGAATGTTAGGAGTCTGAAAGTTTAAAGGTGAAAGCAGGTTCAAAAGAAATCTGGGATTTAGAGGAAAGAGTTTTATTCCTCTTAGTAGGTGCAGAGATCCTGACGAGAACACTGGGTGCAAGATGGAACTGACCCCCTCCACCACGCCCTGAAATTCTGGCCTCAAGAGGTAAGGCAGAAACCCTGGATAGAGCGAAAACCTTAGCTCCCATCCCAGGCTGTGAGGCCGAGCACCCTAGTTTTCATTTTACATGACAGGATCTAGGAACCAAAGAAAACGAGGTAGAATTCATTTAGAGAACAGCACCCTAGTAGGAAATTAGGCTCAATAGCGTCCTCTTGAGGGCATTCTGAGAACATCACTCTAGTAAGAGGTTAGGGTCATTAGCGCCCTCTTCTGGGCATTCTAGAGAAGAATCCTTTTAAGGTTTGGGGCCTAATAGCGCCCTCTTGAGCGCATTCTGACAGCAGCACTCTAGAGGGGATTAGTCTCTGCACTCTTATGGGCATTCTAAGAACAGCAACTTGGTTAACGATTAGACTCTATAGCGCTATCTTGTGGGCATTCTTAGAACAGCACCCTAGTTAGGGATTAGGTTCCATAGTGCCCTGTTGTGGGCAATTAGAGGACAGCATCCTGGTAAGGAATTTTTGTACATTAAGGAGACCTCCTTTTAAAAAAAAAAAATTTTGGTTTTCTCATTGAGTGATTTTTTTCCACTTTCTTCTAATACACTGACCCAATCCTCAGCTTTTCTTAACCTGCTGGTGCATTCCTTCCAGTGTGTTCTTTATTAGTGCTACATCAGCCTATATTTCCGACCGTATTCATAGTTACTATATTTTTTCTCATGCTGTTGAGCATCTTTAACATCATTCTAAACTCTGTATCAGGTAAGTTACTTATCTCCATTTCATTTATCTATTCTTCTGAAGAATTCTTTTGTTCTTTAATTGTGGGGTTTTTTTTGCTCATTTTGGCTGCCTGTTTGGGTTTGTGGCTATGTGTTAGGTAGATCTGCTACACCTTTCAATCTCCACAGGACAGAGTCATACGCTGTTTCTGACTAATGAGATCAGGCAAATACTCAAAGCCTCCAGAGACCAGCCTCTTCTTGTAGACCAGTGGTTCTCAACCTGTGGGTCGCGACCCATAAGACCATCGGAAAACAAATATATAATTACGTATTTTTGTGATTTATCACTATACTTTAATTATGTTCAATTTGTAACAATGAAAATACATCCTGCATATCAGATATTTACATTACAATTCATAACAGTAGCAAAATTAGAGTTATGAAGTAGCAATGAAAATAATTTTATGGTTGGGTCACAACATGAGGAACTGTATTTAAAGGGCCAGAAGGTTGAGACCCACTGTCCTAGAGGAAGCAAATGGATGCCTCTTGGGTGAGGGGAGCCAC